CGGTAGACACTGATTTTAAGTTCAAATTTATAATATTTCGAAAATATATTATGCATTATTAATTATATAACATACCTTGAATAAATTTGAAGTTTTACATGATTCAAGAACATTTTCATTTGTATACCGAACTGTTTCGCCTTTGGATTTGATTCCGTTCATTAGTCAAAGTACACTTCAAGATGTTGGGCTTCCCTTCAAAATTGTCGAGGCCAGGGATATGACGGTGCTAGTGCTGTGTCCAGCCAGGTAAAAGGTATTTCTGTTATAATATTAGAGAAAAACCCGAAGGCTTGCATGTTCATTACTCCAGTCATCGTTTAAACCTTATTGTTGCCAAAGCGTGTTCAATTCTTCCAGTGAAAAATATGTTGAGTCAGGCACAAAATATCGCCAGCTTTTTTATCAGTTTCCCTATCCGCTCACAGTATCTAAGTAAAAAGATGAAAGAGTTTGGTTTAACCCGTAACAAGCTCGCAAAGCCTTCCACGACACGATGGGTAGAACGAATAAGATCCCGCGATGGTTGTTTGGATGCATTCAAAGTTATCTACGAAACACTCAATTTTATGCAGTTTGGAGGATCGCAGGAAGGGCCATTTCCTAGATTAGCTAGTGACGCACAGTCTCATTTTCGCAACGTGGAGAAATTTGAATTTATGGCTGCTCTCATTATCACCCAACATGTTCTGGATCATACTTTGTCATTGACGGTCCAATTAAAGAAGAAAAAAAAATCGATATTGCGGAATCAATAAAACAGATTAATCTTTTAAAGGATGAAATGGCAAAACTACGTGCCTCTGTAGATTTATTCCACAATGAATACTACGACAAGCTGTTGGAATTAGCTAATAACCTCGACGTGGCTGAGTGTTTTCCCCGGGTATGTAAAGCTCAAACAAAATGTGATAATCATCGTACCAGTACAGCAGGTGGTTACAACAGATTAACAGTAACCATTAAGAGTCGTGCATAGGCCGTGATAACGAAACATTCTGAGCTCATCAATGAACAATTGTAAAGGTTTTATTGTAACTCATAGGAAAACCTAAGGATATATTTTGTAAAATCTATTATATTACGAGTGTCTTTCCCTAAGTCTACCGACCCCTGAATTCCCCACGCTATCGTCACCCTGTAATAAATAAGTAACGTTGCAAGTCCTCACCTTCAACCACAAGGATTAAATTACGTAATTCGAAGTGCAAAATTGAGATTACCGGTTTCTGAGTTTACCGGTTTATAATGCTCAGTATTTAATAATCCGTAAGACCAATTTATCATTATTATTACTTGACTTACGGATTCATTAAGTTTATCCTCGTCTTAACTCAAAAAAGTTTTCAAAGGACTTGCATCCAGAAGGGATTTACCAGGAACAGGCTAAAATTAAACAGATGTTGAGATTAATGCACGATGATGATTCGTGATCTTAAAATTGCTACCTTTTGAAACTCTTCACGAGTTAATAAGCCTTGACTGTTCCCTGTGAAAGAAAAATTGGTAAATATAGTCATATTAATATATATTTCCTCCATATTGCAAAGGTAATTTCGCTTGCCTTCAGTTTCTTCCTTGTGTAAAACAGTGTCTTTGGAACCTGGTACGACATCAATCTGAAACGATTGTAAAATGAAAAAGCTAGTCTAAATCAAAGATCTCTTTCTTTTCTGCTTCCCCTGCCAGTCATGTTAGTAGCAATGTAAGGGATGGATAGTGAATGTTCTTGCACGAAATAAATTTCATGCAAAGCGAGTTTGAAGAGAAATTCTTACCATAAAAGCGCTTGGTCCATATCTCGGACTACGACTCAAATATCGAGTTCGTTGAACAAATGCCGAACCAAGATTCAACTTTTGACCGGAATCTTGTAATAAAATCGACGAGGGTGAAGATCTGCCGTGTTCTGTAAGCAGCATCTTTTGTTCTGCGCTGTCTAAAATGCAGGCAGATAATTTGTTCATTTCGTAAATGCGCGAACAATGGCCGATCTGTTTTAACATTACAAACCTGACTCCTTGAGTTCGGTTTCTTCATTTCAACATCATCCCGGGTATCTTCAATATTAGTTTCCTCATCTTCTCTACACGATGCGAGGCGATCTTTGACAAGATCTACAATCAATGTACGCTGTCTGTGCTCTTGCTAAGAAGTTCTGTTGTAGTTTCAAGGCGTTGTCTGGCTCCTTCTTTAATGAGTTCGGCCGATAAATCATCTGAAATACAACAATATCAATTTGACATTCCGCCAACGGAATGCCCAACCGAAACATTGAACAGGTTTGACCCATCGTTGACAAGTTGTGGGCGAAAACATTCAGAGCACAATTTGACTGAGAAAATAAATGGGCTTACCAAAGAGTTGTTTTGGAATTAAACTTTCATAAATCTCAGTCTTTCCCACCGCTGGTCGTCACAAGATGTTTGAGTCACAAGATTTCTGTACTGAGCATACGGTACCAGTGGCCTTTAAATCGCGGGTAAGAAGGTCAGATGCTTTGGTATCGAATTTTGTGTTTGGCACCTGGCTAGAATCATCTGCACGAGTTTTTCTATCAGTTGAAAAGCCTGGAAATGACAAATACGTTCCTAAGAGCTTTCACTAGAAGAATATTAAAACTTGGTCGCTCTTGCAAATATATCTATTGAAAATTCAGCAAGCAATCCCCGTGGCAATAGAATGACATGTGGACTTACTTTCGTAATAAATGGCACGAATTGTTTTCTTAACAATAGCGGACAGTTGACAAACCAGGATGGAATGACATTATCAGCAAGAGCTACAGTGTATTGAGAGTATCTAAGGTGAAACATATCAGTTCGTTTATATTTTAATCATTTTGACAAAACCAATAATAAAAAGTTTCAGATGTTATGCGTTGAGCCAACTTCGATGATTCTGTGTAAGGCAAACATATTCCAAAGACTTGTTTCAACTGGATCGCTGTGAAGTTTTTGTACAAAGCACAAAGCTGTTACAATGCGATTTAAACGATTTAAAAGAATGCTACCAACTTTTCGCCGAATACGATTGTGTGTTTACACAACCTAGCTCTCTTTAGGGGGTACATTGATATTTTGTAACAGATTTCATAATTTACGTAACTTCAAGAAACATACCAGAGGGAAATTCTAGCAGTGGTATGGCAACTTGAGTCGTTGGCGAAAGTTTAGTAAACTTTTCCAGATATTGTGGGAGCAGTCTAAGGACAGAAAATTTAGTAATTATTACTTAAAAAATCATATATTTGTGAAGGAGTATCTCGCATCACAAGAGACGTTACGTTTAGGCTGGAGTTTATTGAAAAACGTTTCTGTAAATTCACTGAGCACATTATCAGGCACGATTTCAAATATCTCCAAAGAAATAAACTTCTAAAACGCTGCAACTACTTAAATCAACTTCATTCTTACAAAGTGCTAATGGACATAAAAAACGTCTCAAATTCCAGACTATTTTAAGTAGCCATACCTTGCCATAACTGAAGGCATTTCTAACATACATATGGTGAGACAAGATACGCTTAACGTCGCGAAATGAGCAACCAAGTACGCATTAGACAACACTAGACGAAATATACAACAACGTTTAAGCAAGAACAGACAACCGCTGAAAATAAAGTCCCGCAGATTCTTACCTGTTCATCTTGACCAATAAAAATGTGGTACGTACACAGCTCCGTTATTACCTGCACGTGTTACAATAAAATATCCAATTAAATCATTAGTATGGTATGATATAATTATGGTATAAATTGGTTATGGTATGGTGTGATATAATTATGGTATGATATGCATGGTTATGGTATGGTATGATTTCGTTATGGTATGGTATGGTGTGATATTATTATGGTAAGATATGGTTATCGTATGGTATGATTTAGTTATGGTTAGTTATGGTATGATATGATTATATGATATGATTATATGATATGATTATATGATGATTATATGATATGATTATATGATATGATATGGTATGGTTATGGTATGGTATGTTTTGGTATATTTATGGTAAAGATATTATGATATATGCAAAAAACTGATTGATAAGAACCGTACTGGAAAAATTCTAGCGTACAAATGAGGTCGGCGCATATCATTAGGAACACGAAATAATCCAGGAAGAAAATCGTAATTTGAAACCTGAATGCAAAGTAAAATTTTTAGTTCATGATTTTGGTGTGAAAGTACACAACTTCACTTCCCTTCCCATTTTAGAGAAGACTGTAGATATTGAACGTAAATATTGCTTTCCAGAAAGTATCAAGTTTTTATCTTGCAGTGCCTCTGGAAAGTTCCTCAGAACAACATCCAACACCTCCCATTCCAATTCCTAGAAAATGAAGAAAGTTGAACTTCAATCGAAACTTAATGCCAGATGATATATTATGATAGAAAAGTTTACCTGTTGTAAGCACACAAGAATAACATTCATCGCCTCGCTTTAAGGCAGTGAAACAATCCCGTTTGTCTTATCTTCTGCAGAACTAAAACAAAAATGAGAATGTATTAAGAAAACAAGAAAAGGATTTTGGAAGCAGAATACCTGACATACGTGGCACTATCGTCATTAACCAACCTTTGCTTTCAGAACAAACAAAATACGAAGTGAATTAAACTTTTCTACTTTTGTCTTGCACAAGGCCTAGACGTTGTCAGCTCGCAGACTGAGGAAACATTGAAGAATCTTTAAGAAAACACAATGTGAGACATCATAGAAAAATCGCGAGGAATAAAATTGAATTTGCCTTACCGAAAGCCGTATTTCCGATGCACTACGTCGTCGATAGCCATTGTCATAATGAGTTTTTATGTGGTACACTAATATATTGAATATTCGTTCGGCTCGTTCTTGAGGTTTACGAAACAAATTCATCTGCAAAAATAGAATGAAATTACTGAAAGAGAAGCAAGTGTGGCATTAAATTACACTTATTTTTGTTCACGAAAATAACTTCATCACAATGAACGAATATGTGTGGACAATCTCTCCATGTCCTTCATTACCTTGAACAAGCGTACTAATCCTAATACAGCCTCCTTGATGTCTTTCTACGCTGTTTCATCATGAGGCTGCAGAAACAAAGACAAATTACAGTGATTAGATGTAATTTTATGTCTCTAGATGCTCCTACATATACCTTGCAGTCTCTATAATTACCTTACATGTTCTTTACATGACGGCTTTACGTATCGCTTGAGAGGATCAACTGGACAGTGGCAATCTGGAATTGATAAATAAAATATATATCCTTTTACTTCACTGATGCGTTTGCATTCACGACCCCCGTGTAAAACGATCCAATTTGCGGATATATAGTTAGGTTTCAGGTCAGGAAGCTTTCACTGAAAGAAAGAGTTTTCTATTGAAGTACAGTATCAGCTCATCACGAATGAAGAGGGAAATTGGAGTGGAGAATTGAAACCGTCTGAAAATGATTGTATTGAGTACCTTCTCGATTATATGCAAAACATCGCAAACTTTCGGTGAATCAGAGGATTCAATAACATCGACCAGAAGCTGGACAGCTCGGATCCGCACAGAAATATCCCGATCTTTGACAATGTGGTCTAAATGTGGCAACACTGAATTCTCAAGTATTTTCTTCCTGTAAAAACAAGGAGTTATAAAACTAGAAAAAGATTCATAATATGGCTAATGTCTAGAAAAATGGACTAAAATTTATTCAAAGTACTAAAATTTTATACCTCATATAGTGGAGATAACGTTCCTAATATGTTACAAAGCACATTTAGAGCTTTAATTCGGTTGGCCGTCCTCTCTTCACATCTAAAAAAAATTCCCATTAGGATAAGACTGAGGCTACATTAAGGTACACCACGAACTTAAACAAAAATCAATATACCAAAATATTACATTTTTACATAACAAAATATAAAGAAAAAAGAAGACCACACACTTGAAGTTATTCTCCACCAAATCTTTAATATTTTCAAACCAGTTTTCGCAGTAAGGATGAAGAGACTAGGAACGATGAGAAACCAGGAGAATAACTGAGGATTACTGCAAACAACGACATTTCATTTAGCTGCAAACAACGACATTTTATTTAGCTAAGTGGATTCCGTTAGATTTCATATATTTTATTAATTTTGTCCTCAAAGAAAGTCATAAAATTGTTAGCTAGATTCTCATCAGATTGGCACACAGAATATTGAGAATCAGGGGTATAATGTAGTAACTTTCCAACGGTTTTAAATAATTTCTTTTGGTCACTCCCATTATCTCTACAATTTCAGAATAATAACGAGTACGACTTTCCTATAATAGCTCACTGACACGGCGACATTGCTGACTGTATTTTAGACGATCACAGGATTGTCTTGACTTACGCCATACCCGCTCGAGTTTCCTTTTGATACGTTTTTCGTTTTTAATTTGTTCAGTGTACCAAGGTGCAGCTGGACGAATAATTATCTCTCTGGAAATAAGTGGTACATGATGATCCAGAATTTTGGGCAGCTCCGAGTTGTATTGGTTGACTTTCGCACTTATATCAGCCGTGTTCCCTGTGTTAATCGGAGATAGCCTAAATTCATTAAGGAACGAGTCCATATTGATTGCTTTAATTTTACGTGACTCCACGACCCTTCTCTGAAACAATGGTTTTTTAAAATTGAGTTCATATGTAACCGTGTAATGGTCAGATATAGATGGATCATGAACGTCAATAGATTGAACAATATTTTCCTCATGGCGAGACAAGATAAGGTCTAACGTGTGACCAGCAAAGTGTGTTGGTTGTTGTACACGTTGTTCCAGATTAAAAGAATCAACAAGATTGAGAATTTTTTTTGTTGTTAATTCTGACTTATCGTCTACATGGAGGTCGATATAATACGATTATATTTGGAATTTGAGATGACACATTGATTTGCATACCCATCACTTCGAAAGACTTAATGTGTGAGAACATTTTCGCCGAGTCCAGCTTGACTTTTAAAGTGTTCTTGTATAGTATACCAATGCCTCCCCCTCTACCTTGTTGTCTCGAGATATTGTTAAAGGAGTAGCCCTTCGGGGTGAAATTCCCAAAAGATATATGATCAAATTTGTCAGGGTGAAGCCAGGTTTCTGTAATCGCAAATATATAATTCATTCTCAACCACATAGTCTTTGACTAAATTCGCTTTGTTCCGAATAGACCGGCAGTTGAGAAGACCAAAAAAACAAAGGTGGTGAGTAACAGCTGTATCAAGAGTGTTGGCAATGCCTGATAAAGGAATATTGATGAGATTGATTCTCTTAATATAATTTCTGCCATATATATTTACAGGCTTTGGGACACGGTCCGTGATTCTAACAGGGATAGCTTCCTGATGATTTGCAGGATGATAGTGATTGTATAGTGTGGCGGTGGTGTTTGCGAAGTAGGTATTATAGCAAATATTCCTATAGGTCATATGGAACAACCAACCTTTCTGTAGATTCAACTGCCCAAGCATTGAACTAAGCTCCTCAGGATTATTAGCGGGTCGAAACGTGTTCATCAAACGTAACTGCTTTCGATGTTGAGACATCTCATCCGACTGATTATTATCAAAAGATTGAGGACCAGGATTAGGCGAAACATCCACACACATTGTTAGATCCTGCTTGAAGGCTTCGTACACAGGACTAGACTAACAAATCCATGTTTCGTTTCTTTAGCAATCGCAAATGAGACTTTGTATTTAGATTCAAAACCAACTCGTTGTATGTTGACCCGACATCGAAAAGCAATATCTCCACAAATACTCAAGGTTATGCCATCCGCAGCCAATCCATCCAAATCCGTGCAATTAGTACTCTTAAATGCCATATTAATTGGTCGAGATGTACGAAACTCGTTAGATGAGATAAATATCATAAAATATATAGAGCTGCCGACCAACCGACATATTGGTCGTGAATTAAGCAGTACGAAACACAATATTCATTTCCATACACCAAAGATGGTGATTCAATGATAACATCACGTTATCAGCTTTAGAGAATTTCTTTAAAAACTTGTTTAACGAATCGGATAGAAGCAAACGGGAACGAGAAGAAGAAGAAGTTGTGAAATCATTGTAAGTGTGTTTATTTCTATTTAAACCCGACAACTTTACTTGTTCAGGGAAAGACATATTAGAGTTGTTTACAAGTAAAAGCTATGTACACACACCTTGGGTGGTGGTGGACAAAATATTGAATCATTGGTTATTTTTATTCTAGATCACTAGCTGCCTGTGAAGGAACATACAAAATTTTACTAGAATGCTACAAAAACAGCTGGATTGAAGGTTGTCAAACTGAAATGGTCTCCCAAGTGGCAAATCGATTGCTCGAATCCTACCATAACCGTGTTTCATTATAAATCTGTGAAAAGGATAAAGTAAATTAAATGAACATGGATGTTCAGCACAAGAACTTGTAGTCGATTGGAGAAGACAATTGTCTCCCAAGCGGTAAATCGATGGTTCGAATCATACCATAACCGTTTTTTCATTATGATCTTCGTGAAAACGATAAAGTAGATCAAATAAACATAGCCGTTCCCCGAAGAACTTGTGGTCTAGTGGCAAGACAATTTTCTCCCAAGTGTTAAATCGATGTTTCGAATCCTGCCAAAACTATTTTTTATTGTGAACTTCGTAAAAGGATAAAGTAAACTAAATAACCATGGCCATCCAGCACAAGATCTTGCAGTCTAGTGGCGAGGACAATGGTCTCAGAAGTAGTAAATCGATGGTTCGAATCCTACCATAACCGTTTTTCATTATGAACTTCGTACAAAGGGTATCGCTTCAAGAAACTTCGGTTCTATATGATGTTTTGCCTCCCTACCTTTTAGCAGATGCTTTTAATAAAGCCTTAATTTTTGGGTACAGTTAACAAGAAACGCGATACGACTTTAATTGTGACAAGTATACTCAGTTCAACACTTGGTTTATTATGGAATAAGGTCATAGCCTCGACGGCAGACAAACTGAAAGACGGCGAAATTCGTAAGATTGTCGTACGCGAGTTAAATGATATCAAGTCTAAAATCGATGGCCTTTCTAGATCAACTTCACTCGCAAGTTATAATTTTCTAGAAGAAGGAGTAGAGTTATTCAGTGTTTCTCTCGATAAATCAAATCTTGAGCAGAAAGAGAGCGAAACTCAGGACGAACCAGGTGAACTTTCGAGCCTTATTCTGTCTGGTATCTTAAACCAAGCAATAGAGCTTCTTCCAGCCAGGAAAAAGCTTAAAATCAACTCGGACAGAGAGTTAGAAACTGCGAGAAAAAGATTCGAGGAAGCGCGCAAGGCAGCAACCACTGCTTTCTGGAATGAGGCATTTAGTATCGAAGATCGAATTTTTGCAGCGAAGCTACGAATAGTTTCAAAAATAGTGGAACACTCGATTGTCCTGAGACCGCAATCACCGAATGTTTATCGTTTTGGAAGAAGCTGCATAGCTTACAAGCCATTCAACTGATTCAAGAGATATTCTCAGTGTCTTTGAACGATGGAGTCAAATCGTTGTTGAATAAAACTCAACGGGTGGAGAACGTCTGTCGGTTATGTTAATCAACTATGTGTTGTTTCAATATGTTTGCAAATTCAGTAATAAATGTTCATTTGAAGTGTCCGCCTGCATGCCAACGATTGAACTTCCCACTCGCAGTTTTCATCCAATAATAAGCTGGCACGAAATTTCAGCAAGAAATTCTATAAAAGAGGAATTGCCTCATCCTCCAAACGAACAGACCCTTCATGAAAAAAAAGAGCTTCTCCATATGCTGTGAAAAGTCAGGGGGTGTTCTTACTTTCCCTCGTACTCCGCCTTATGAGAAAATCATGATTATCCAGGAGGAAGGAAAAATTAAACGGATTGAATTACCTGAATTTACAGGCAATATTTTAATGGCCCTTTCTGTTGATATCAATAACAATGTTTACGTGCTAAAAACATACTGGTGAAGGATTCCTGTTGACGATATTGAACGAGAATTACAATGTAAAAGCAAAGACAAATTAGATTTGCTCGAGGACAAAATATCTTCTGTAGTTAGAATCGCAATATGCAAAGACGATGATATCATCATCATCCAACACAGAGGCCTGATGTGTATGTTTGTAACAAGATGTGTCAATTGAAATACAAATTTGACAACGACTCAAGTGAGGCATTTTCATTGAGTATTTCCCAGCAGAATGAAATCATGATACCAACAAACGATCATACCGCAGTTCAAATATACACCAAGGAAGGAAATCTGAAGACAACAATAAAAGTCCCAGACCATCATAAAGTTGTCAGAGTGGCATTTCACTAGGTTATTTGTAAAATATTGGTCTAACCGTGGTAGGGGAAAAAATTCCTATTTCTTTCTGCGCTACCCTGAAGCAGGCGGGAAGCTGGAAACTCTTACCTTCTTTTGTAAAGTTGTCGATGTGCAGTATCCATATGTGGTATCCCATAATGGCCCTATTGTTGTTGTAAGAGAAGGAAACTTC